TTTCTTTCACGCCAGAGCCTGCGAACAAAATGGATTGATTCCATTCCTCGGACCCTTTTACCGAGGAATTGAACCACGTGGAATCGATACAATTGAAATGCCCTAAAACCGTCCTGTCCAAAACTATATCTAAGCTCGCGCCGTTAGCCTAATGCTTAAGGCCCCTACTTTCAATTCGTCTCCCTCCTCCCCCCTCCGTGGCGGGGTGGATTCGAGTCGCCTAAAGCACATATTTTTCATCCCTGGCTGAGGAAGCCTGAGGTCAGTGACGCGGCCGCGCGGACGGCCAGGTGACGTCAGAGGCAAGCGGACCGTACGAGCATGATGGTACTACAGGCTTTCGCCGCAAAGTTCTACCGTTGGGCCCGGAATTCTACGACCGGATGGTAGGATCGGGCTCATGCAGCCAGCACTGCTTGGCGTGGGTGCTCATCCCAAACACACCCAATGAAAGGTACGACCAATCTTTAAAAAATTGATGGTCGCTCCCGTCAAACGCGTTTAAGAAGCTCGAACGACCATATGGATACTAAAAGCAGTCCTTCGATCACAAATGTGACGAGCGGTGTGTTTGCCTTCTGATCCCGCCCCTCCCCCCCCCCCCCCCACCACACACACCACGAGTGAGCGAAGTCATGTTAAAACATCACTACTTTTCCGTGAGAATGGATACCCGGAACTCTATGAAAGGTCTCTCGGCTGTACCGTATGCTCTCCGTTTAGCAAAACAATAACATCCTTTGCAAATAAGTCGTAGAAAGGTAGGAAAAGTTAAGCACAGGCTGTGGCTAGATAAAACTATCGTTTATGCAATGTGGCCTCAGAAAGTTAACCCACGCTTTTTTTCTCAGCAGCCAGTGTAGTGTATTCGTCCAGCAGCAGCCAGTAAGTGTATTCGCCACGCAATCAAGACTGCAATGGCCTTCGAGGGGCCATTTAGTCGTAAAACATGATCAGAACATTGGCAGTCATCAGCGATCTTATATTCATCCAATCATGACTCTAGAGAAGATGCCCTTTGAGAACGGGAGCGGGGATCCTGTCAGCACCGCCCCAGAGTGATCCATCACCGCCGCTATGACACCCGTGTGGGTCGCCCCTCTGGGGCGACCCACACGGGTGTCCACACCGTCCACACGGGTGACCCACACCGTGACGTCGCCCCTCTGGGGCGACGTCACGGGACAGATCGGGACAAGGAGTGGCTCCAGGAGGACGGGGTGACACAGCACACGGCACGGGCTCCATTGACTTTATTGTAGCATTATTTCCCCCGAAGGCACGTAAGCTTAAGACTGCCGTGTCATGACTTCTCCTTGCCTGACCTGTCGCTCCTGAACTTTACGCTGTGGAATGACCTCAAGGAACACGTCCACATGGACAAGCCCACAAACGTTCAATAACTCAAGGCCGTCTTCAGACTTAAGGTAGGACGCATCCGCTGTCGACACGATCGATCGCACAATCGGCCGCCTGAAACAGATCCAGCTGTTGCGCACCTGGACCGCCAGTTGTCCATCTCGACAGGTGCGGAATCTCCAAAGACTACAACTGCCGCTGATCATGTGTTCCCTTTCAATTGACAGTTGAATGCCACTACAGTCACGACTGTGAGTCACGTACACGTTCCACTGCTGAGCAAATCATCGGCCAGCTCGTACCTGGGCCACCCTGTACTTTAAAAAACTGCCGCATATGGTAGCCGATAGTTTGTGTCCCTATCCACCTGAGTTCTCGTGAAAAACCTGTCGATATTAGTAGTGCTTTGTTTATGCCCTTTGCGCAGCGACAGTTTTCAGAGATATGCATTTTTGGTCCAGTATTTCCTTTTCTTACAGATTGAGAACTCAGAGAATCATTGAGGAAGCTAAAGCAAGCCCCCCCCCCCCCAAGTCAACGGGGCCAAGGCCCTTCTGAAATTGTATAAAGTGACGGGCAAGCCCTGTTTTGCGCGCATTTGTATTAATGCTAACAAAATTATATGGGTAAATATTGGCTTATTATGATTCTACTTACTTTTCTCATCATTATTTAAGAAACGTAGCGTACATCGTAATTTTGATTATCTTGCGGCAGTTGATCCCTAAAGTTTGCAACGCCTAACTGCACATTCTGACCTCAATGTTTTTTTTCCAGGATGCGATTCAGGTGCACGAGCACAAGTTAGGGACAGGAGCCACCAAAACTGCAATAACTAGACACGCATTTCGTCGGCCATATTGTGCCACTTTCACTTAATGACACAAATGCCACTAAAATGTCATAAAATGCCATGCCACATGGCACTTCCCTTCATTAGAACACGCCTGCGAGCATTATACTGATGAAGCCACACGGTCAGCTAAATGCATACGGCCTCGCCGTCGCTCGTGAGCAGCACGAGCGACGCGTTGTGGCTCACGAGCCGTCGACTCGTCTGTTATAAAACAGATCATGTGCTACTGGCATCCCAATAAACATTTGTGGAACATCCGCCGTCCGTGGAAAATCACCGCATCTACTACGTACTAAACCGGGCTGCGCCGTGTTTTGGTTGGCCATCAGAATGCCTGATCTTGTCATCTGATCCTGATCCTGATCCTGATCCTGATCCTGATCCTGATCCTGATCTTGTGGCATGGTAGTGAAGGCATGTAGTGTTCACACATTGCATATCGCATGATCTTTGTGGCATGGTGAGGAAGGCATGTAGTGTCCACACATTGCATATCGCATGGCCGACAGTTCAGCTCCTGCCCGCTCCCACCCCAGCATGCCCTGTCAGCGTGCCAGGGGCGTCAGGGGCCAGTTGGAAGAGGGGAGGGGGCTGGTGGCAAAGAGGCCAGCAAGTTCGCGGAAGGCATGGCTTTGAGCCGTTGTCCAGAAGGGTTTAGCGCACGCTTCAAGCGAAACCTCGGCGGGCAGGCGTCCAAAGTCGTGCCGCGTCGCCGTCTGCGACCACCCTCGAGACCTCCCAGAAGAGGGAGAGGACAGGGAGGGGGGGGGGGGGCGCAGCGGGTGGCTCCCGTGGCCCCTCTTCAGAAGCAATCCGCCGATCTGCTCCACTTCATCGGAATGCACCTGCTGGGCTATAGCTCTAAGCGTATGCAATTTTCGAGATCTAGCTCGTCCAGTTCATTTGAGTTGCTTGATTCTTGAACGAAGAACGGTGACGCAGGCCGGCGTCGAACGCTCAGTTCCTCAGAGATTGCGGTAATCGGTCTTATGAGAACCTATTGCGGCTCTAATTAAAATCATGCCGTTACTTCTTCGGCATAATAGTGTCACAAAAACCCGTCACACAAACCCCGGAAAGAGTCCAAATCGATTCTGGAATCGGTGGTTTGCGTTTTCAGAGTGGAATCGATTTTGGTGACATTTCATTGCGATTTGCCGTCAGAGCCGAATCAGTCGAGTCATCTGCTTTGATAAATACGTGGTATTCTCTTGTAAAACTATATCTAGAAAAGCATATGTATAGCTTGATAGTGCCGTAAAGCGATTTTGCTTTTTGCTAACAGAATCCAAATAAAAACGCATCGTGATCATAACACTACGCTATTGATCACAACAACGGCGCACGCACTGCGACCAGAATAGATCACAGTGCGTGCACCAAATGGATCACAGGCATAAACAG